GAAATGCGCTTTTTCAAACTGCTGGTACAAGCTTTTGTGAGTCCGTGAACAGCAACGAAATGTTTTTGTTGAATTATTCATGCGAGACGAGAAGAACAGTGGAGGTGGAGTGTTTGTCGTCGTGTACGTGGAGGAGTGGCCGCCAGATGGGATTATTAATGAAGAAGGCAAAGTCGCAAAATTTTTATTTTTCTTGCTGGCTCATCCATTGGTTTTTTTATGTTTCATCTTTTGGAAATCTGATGCCGTGTTGTCGCCGCATGTGACAGACGCCAAATTGCGTCTAGTTAATTCACTTTTGCAGTTCATTTCGTCACATAAACCAGGGGGTATTTTAAAAAGATGGCCTGAAATAGCAGCGCATGTTGTTTTGTGTGAGATCTCAGATGTGCAACGGATCATTGTTTAAAATGCTTTCAATGAACGGCGTTGATTTTAAAGAAGCATGCCAAATGACTCAAGCGCGGATTGGTTTAGAATGCATTGTGGTAGCAAGGTCTCGATTTGTGAAGCTGAGGATGACAACGATTTTTTTAACCATTCACCTTAGATCAAAACGATGTTTCAGTAATTTTTTGTAGCTAAAAATGCCTGCTGATCATCTGAGCACGTTTTTTACTTCAAATTACCTAGTTTTTTTCTTTAAATTTTGCAGATACTTTAAACGTTTTTGACTGCTCATCACAAATTAAGCAGTGATTCCTTTCTAAAAGAGGCATTGGGCGTTATCCACTAAGCAAAACTGCAATGCACTTTTTCGCCAAACATAATTTGTTTTTCTACGTGTTATTAAATCCCGTATTTTTTAAACGTATTTATTTTAAGCAAAAGCATGACGCTTGCAGTTTAACCAATCGTTGAGGTTTTTTGTGTTTTGACTGAACCACCCCAACAGAAGCAAGTTTGGAATCTTATGTGATACCTAAACAAGGCGGTAATTGTCATTTCAAAATGGACCATCGTGATTGGCCCATATTTTTACTCAAATCCTCTGCCACTGATATCATGCACTCTGACCGCCTCAAAGGACCTCTACATATGGCCTTGACAGCTACCACTGGTCTATAAGACACGTTGTAGCTTGTGTTTTATTCGGTGACTTAAGAATTCAACTTAGTGAAGTCCAACAGTATGAACACAAAATAGCGAATAGAGTTCATATTCAATTTAGGAAATAATCACTGTTTTGTAAATCCACCTAACGCCGTGGAAGAAGGTAAATTTGTGTGGCTTTAACTGACCAATCAGAAGTGCCTGTCAGATTATTGGGTGCAAAACTGAGGTGTCGGGCCACCGTGGACCAATCAGAGCCCGCAAGCACAGCTTGGGCATGCCATGACTAATCAAAAATTGCAAACCAATTTGAGGAATGTTATATGCTATTTTTAGGGATGCAAAATAACCTTATTGCCTGCGTAATCATCGTCTTCCTGTGCATCATCTCTTCCTTCGTCGTCGGATCTGTGAGTGTCCTTGCTCGCATTGTGCCCGCCGCACTAGTCAACGCCTTCCTCTACCTTACAGCATGTAAGTGTGACCTTCAGACGGCCAATGAAATTCGTCCTTGCTGGTAGTGATAGTAGTCGGTGGCTAAACAAGTGGGAAACCTGCTACAAAGCTTGAAAATCCGTAAATCGGGATGCTTCCACTTTAATCACTCCTCTTAACCGACCATCCTCAATCACGACGTTGTCTTTTTGAACAGCCTGTTAAATTCACTTGCGTTTGATGGGTGATCATAAAAAGTGGACATGACCTCGTGAATATTAAAAGAGTCATTTCCTGACTCAGTCCTGAGGCCGAGTATACAGTGTTTGACCTTGACATCCTTGGAAGTGGACCAATGAAATGGGAGCGCGGTTGATTTGACTTATGCGATGACTACGACCGCCGTAAAGAATTAATCGATACATTTCGGTGGGTCTACAGGGAGGTGAACCAAGATGGATTTTGCGATTTGCAGTAACGGTTGTTGATGTTGCGTGAAAGTCGATAACGATTTTTACCCACTTGCGAGCTATTTGAAACAAAACCGTTTGACTGCAACAAGAATTAGTTACGATTTGCGTAAGCTTCCAGGACAAGCCGTCGTGAATAGATTACTATTAACTGAATTCAGTTAATGATTCCTACATTGTATTTATGCCACAATTAAAGACAAAGGGTATGTGTTGCCACTCGGTAAAAATCAATTAAATGCTGTGTTCTTTTGGAAAGTTAATTCGAGCAAATTACCAAACAAGCCCAAACGTTCACTGGGGTTTCCCGATATTTACCAAAGGAAATTGAAATTATCTTCCAAAATTAATTCTATCAAATGGGTAAATTATTGGTTGTCGAGAGGTTCTTAATGACAATGTCAAATTTTCACTCTTGTAGGCGTGTTTATTGTGTTTGCGAACTGCATAGAACACATCAAGGTGATTCATATTCGTTCAAAATGGGGACCCTGTTACCCCATTTCGGATCTTCCACCTGAGGTGAGTCATGTGTCTGTTCCTCGCTGTTGCATTCTTAGACTCATCTTTGTAACTAGCACGAATCCCATTGGCTAAGTGGCCTAAGGTTGATTCGACCGCCAGAGTAGGCGACCAATCACGTTGGTGTAAATACTAGTCGCACCTGACTTGCACCCCTGTTTGTGAGTTTTGCATCCACGAATAATTGGAATCAAGAAGAGTTGATTGTCATGAGCATTCGTACACTTTCTAAATGAGAGGTAGTCATGATGCTACTTAAGTATAACTCAGCGACCTGATGCGAAAAGCTATTTTTATCTCCCTTAACGCATCTCCTTTTGGTCGCTTTACGCAGCTCTACAACCCGCAAATGATCACTGTGCATTACGGCTGGCCGGTGTACCTCAATTGGGCAGCTGTCAGTGTTTTTCTTGGTTCCACCTGCGCGTGGTTCACCCTGAAGAGGATCCTTTTTGTCGAAACCTCGAAGGCGATAATTTGACTCACAGAATGCACTTTTTATCTACCCCTATCTACCCAATTTCTACTTATTTATTCTCATACGGAATGTCTGTTTTGTTACTAATCGTTCCTCTCAGTATGAAAAGAAAGACAACACAGTTTGATTTTTTTGACTACTTTTAAGTGTAAGTAACCATGTTCTACTGAATTTTTTTATCTCGATACTGGGCGAGAGGACCAGGTGGATCCCAGAATAATAAATTTACGCACCGTTTTACAACAACTCCTGAAGGCATTATGTCTTCCTCGCCGCCTTACCCCATTCGAATCCAGACAGCATAAGCTGTGTGGTCGAGTGGATGTGTGTGGCCAACGAAAAAATTTGATTGGCTGACAGATTAAAATTAGTCGGTCTAGCCATATGCTTGAAAACCTCTGGAAGCGGTATTTTCCCATGATTTTTAAAAATGGCAGATTTAGGCATCAGCATCTATGCCTCATTTCCGACATCGGGCAGTAACCCTTCGTTTGTTGTTTTACTGGGTCAGTGTGACCACTAGGCGGACAATTTAAATTTCGAATGATCAGATAACTCGATCAGTACGCATTTGACCTCGACTGGGAGCTTGATTCATTCTTTTCTCGTTTGTCGCAGCAAAGAAGAAGAAAAAACACAAAAACTGAGGCCTAATTCTAGTCTTTTGATTACTAGTAAGGGGGTGGTGGTTTGGCGTGGGCCAAGGTCATGAAATCAACGGTGAATTATCACCACGGTAACCTCATTGCGCGCAACTACATGACCTCACACTACAGCACGTGACCTCGATTCCACGCGTTTTCTCCGGCTACAGCAAACTAGCCGAATCAGTCAGCTTAATTTCCCCCAAATTTCCATCGATGAATCGTGGAGACTAAGCATCGGCCGACTTGAAAAATAAATTAGACTTGTCGAAAATATGATTTAAAGTAACTTGCGTGCATCGAGGTAGTAACCTCATCGACTAATGCTCGCACACTATTCTGCATGCTGCTGCATTGACCGGATGTAGCCAAGTCTGTTGAATATGTAGTAGCCTGCGGTCTAGCACTACCTTACAACCCTCTAGTTACCAGTCCGTAACAACCCGAAAAGAGTGGAAAAAGAGGCGACGGAGGACGCGACCGTTTATTAGCGTCACGCCGGCCAAGTGTCAGTCTGTGTGTGTGGATGAGTTAACGGATGGCAGGCATCTGATAACAGTAACCAATGAGAGATGGGATGAGTCATTATCACCGTCAGGTCAGTAAAGGGGCTTCACCCAGGCGCGATCACTGTTAGTCCGCTACAAATGTGCCGCGCGTGGGAGAATTTCCCATGCCAAGTTCAAGAGGGTCCTCTGAGTTGCGAGAGCAACTTGAGGTGGCATGCTCCCTGACCTCACCCTGCTCCTTGGCCACACCCTGTAGAAGGCCTTTTTTGACTAAGTCCTTCGTTCAGTTTGTCCAATTATCGGCTGCAGCCTTCCGCAGTCACTGTCTGGCCAGTTTCCAGGTGTCTGTGACACAGTTCACCCTTCATGTCCCCCCCCCCAAAGACACACAGGTGAACCTTCTTCAAGTGGAAATCCTGTTTCGGCGTCGATGTACTAGGTTGCCTGGGATTCACCTCAAAACATTAGGATATGCTTTGCATCCTCGGTCGCAATTTTCCACAGGAAGTCCATTCACTACTTGCTACCGAGCAAGCAGTGAAAGGCAGGTGTTCATGCGTTGACCTAGATTATATTCGGTCAACACATGCGTGGGAACCCAACTGCCAGGCTTCTGATTTATTTCAATTTGGTGGTGCACACACTTGGAAATAGCTGCTCAGGTAACTCCCAACTTAGCTCCTGC